TTGAGAAATAAATATAAATTATGCCTCTTTCATTCTAGAATGAACATAAATTATAACACGAAAATATAAATGTTTAGACTAAATAGCTTAAATCTCATAACATTATACATTTATATATACCAATTATTTTTATTATATTGACCTTTCAGCCGTGCCTGGCTAACATTACAGAAGTTGTAATAACGCCACTCACGTCCACTCATGTTACGATTTTCTCAATATCTGATAATCGACATTTTTATAGTGGATTTTAACTCATAACTTTAGATCTATTGACGTTATAGACTTCAAAATTGTTAGTGTATCTATAGTGTAAGTTAAGGTAAAGTTGATACGAGGTTTGGTTTTTATTAAATTATCATTAACGAGTCACTGTAGCGTGTGTCCTACTTAGGGCATACTCATTAGTGCCATAATGTGATCTTGAATTAATTTTTAGTGTTTCTTAGTTCAGACTAAGTCTTCACATCCCATCAAAATCTGGACCTATTTTTAGAAGTATTCAGTCATGTTTTGTAGGAGTTATTAGAAACATAAGACATTTCTTTTGTATTTCTTTAATTTTATAATATGCAAATTAGCCACAGTGGTAATGTTACACAACATGTGCCAGAATATGTCTTTGTATCTATTTCAGTATATTTTCAAACACAACGAAAAGTATGAAGATGTTGTTGTTTTTCTAATAAAAAGGCCAAAACCTAGATAACACTACGTAAAGAGTATATGCTACCTTAAGAATCAGCACTGTGTTAACTGAACAAAATATAGCATGTGAATTAGAAGCTAAGCTGAATGTAAATTCAATTTCACACATTATGAGTAAAATAATTCAATATAATTATTGTCAAGTTGCTTTATTTTTCTGTGTTAATGAGGTATCATTTATTATTTGGACGGATCTGGGTATGTAGAAGAATATCATCATGTACAGTAAACAAAACATTATCTAGGCGATGAGTTCGATTTTGTTTGGAATTTTTTTTGTTTGTTTTTGGAAATAAAATTTAAAAGAAATATTGCAACATGTATATATATATATATATACAGCAATGAAAACTGACAGGTTTCACCTTTTTTCTTAATGGAGAAAGATAACGCATTAGGTTATTCTGCCTCCAAAACGTCGGTGACTAGTTACATTAAGTCAATCTGCCTTTAAAAGTCAGTAGTTTGTTACAGTGATTTGTTTGCCAGCACAAGTTTGTGGCTTGTTGCAGTGGCCAAGAACTAAAACTTTCTGTGCTTTATTACAGTGGTCATACATGAGTTATTTCTGCCTTAAGAAAATTTTATATATATATATATATTTACTCTAACACTACATTATGTCCTTGTGCCTTTAACATATTTAGGCAATTAGCTATAGTCACTACTGGGTTGAATTTCAGTTTTGATCTAAGTTGTAGTCTGTTTTGATCCAAAGTTAATTTTGATATCTGAAGCTTGTTGCTGTGGCTAATACACTGGGTCCTTCTTCTTTAACAATAGTGTAGTTAAGTGGTTCTAGAAGTATTTTATACAACTTCTCCCTTTCTCCTGTCTGTGGTCCCGCATACCTCTACCTACAATCACACAGGCTGGTTCCACAAATATTATATACAACATCCCCCCTTTCTCCTGTCTGTGGTACTAGATGCCCCTACTCACAATCACACAGGTTGGTTCTACAAATATTATATACAACATCCCCCCTTTCTCCTGTCTGTGATACTAGATGCCCCTACTCACAATCACACAGGTTGGTTCTTCACATATTTTATACAACACCCCTTTCTCCTGTCTGTGGTACTGGATACCCTTACTCACAATCACACAGGTTGGTTCTACAAATATTTTATACAACACCCCTTTCTCCTGTCCTGTGGTACTGGATGCCCCTACTCACAATCACACAGGTACACATGCTGGTAAAACAAATCTAATACGTTGGTATTACTAAACATTAAAAATTGTAATGAATCATAGGTTTATAAAATAGATATGGATGCAAGTATACAACGATACAAATTGTTGTATGTGAGACTGCTTAACTATTAGTGAAAATGGTGTGCGTGTTTATTGGAGCAGAGCAGTTCCATCCGAAGCTTAATACTAGAGATGGCAATCCAGAGGACTCCTTGTACCTGGGGTTAGATTTGTTTTTCTTTATAAATGCAGATAAATATATGTGCAGTATTTGTTTTCGTGAACCTTCTTACGCCATGTCCCACTCGAGAGTTCATTCTGTGCCAATTAGTTTGAGAACCATCGCTGTAGTTTTCTTGTTTTGTTTCAACAAATGTAAATAAATTAACAAAAGGGTGACATAGATAAGTTTTATGTGTAAAATAGAGTAAGATAAATACTATCTATTTATATTTTGTCTCACCATTAACATTTTTATCTGGATGACATAAAGAAATTAAATGAGGAAGTAGAAAACCAAAGACAGAGATAGAATAATTTGATAAATCTGCAAGAACAAGCTGTTATGATGAATATATTAAATAATACCTTAAGAGCACATTGCGAATAAATAAATTTTGTAGCTAGATCTTTGATAAATCTATCTAAAATAATTGATCAGGACGGAAGTTAGAAATGTTGGCTTGCACAAGGCTAACGCAGAAACAATTTTTACCAGACCAGAACCAGAATACAAAGTGGCTTGCAATAGATTAGTTTTATTATAAATAAATACAGAAGATTTACCAGACATTAAGTGTCATTGCAATTAAGAAGTTAAATCCTTGCATTATATTCTCAACACAACTGATAGAGATGTTAGATGCAATTGAAAGAAAGTTACCAGCACACACACACATATAGTTCGTAATTCTAACACACAATGAACAAATGTTTATTTACAATACCTGATCGGGTGTTAAAACTATCACAACAGAAAAACTTTAAGAATGACCATTAAACTCCAAGTGGTCAATAAGTTGTTTACATTGTATAATATATACCAGCAGCGGTAAGAATGAATAGTTCACTAGCTATGGTGGCCCGGCATGGCCAGGTGGTTAAGGCACTCGACTCGCAATCTGAGGGTCGCGGGTTCGAATCCCT